TCAGCACAATAATCTATGAGACTGATCTGATGTGCTTCATATCACTGACAGCCAGCAGATGGCAGATTTCTCTTTTAAACCGATTACAGTTATGCAACGTGACACTGAACATGATGTAATTTAAAGCTTAAAATGCTTTTGTGGTCATTTTTGACATCACTTTAAATCATCATTTAATTAAATTAACATTTAATTAGCCTACATTGAAGCAAACACAAAACATTTCACTAGGAACAGATTAAAATAATAAAAAAAAAACCCCACTGTCATAGTATTAAATGTAACCCTAACCGATACAAAGACATAATGACTTTAAAAATCGTCTAAACTCACTGGAAAATAAATAGTGATGTTTTGAACGTTTTCAGTGTGAAAGATTAAAAGATTAAGATTTAAGGCTGTACAGTCTGAATAATCATAAAGGAAGAAACTGCTTTTAAATTGGCTTAGTGGGAAGAAATTGAATCAAAGATATCATTAACCAGTACTGGACTTTCCTGTGTCTATACTGGAGCTAGAAGTGGTTGTTGGGCAGTTTTGCATGGCCAGCAGGTCTGAAAATGAGAAATTGAGATTGTGGAACAGAAAATGTACTGCATTAATGACTCTGTGCAAGAAAAAAAAACAAAAATCTATATATTGAGAAAATCGCCTTTAAAATTGTCCAAATGAAGTTCTTAGCAATGCATATTACTAATCAAAAATTAAGTTTTCATATATTTACGGTAGGAAATTTACTAAATATCTTCATGGATCATGATTAAACATGACTAAATATCCTAATGATTTTTGGCATAAAAGTAAAATCGATCATTTTGACCCATACAATGTATTTTTGGCTATTGCTACAAATATACCCCAGCGACTTAAGACTGGTTTTGTGCTCCAGTGTCACATATTATATATGGAAATATTTAAATGTAAAATTAAATTAGAGTCCTCCCATGGGGCTCGGTTAATGACCAAACCCCTTTTTCATTTGTTTAGTATTTCACATTTTCAAAATGCCACCTATAGGTGCTCTCTACTCCAGGTATGTTCTTATTAATAATATAATGTATAAAATCTAGGTAATATATAGCTTATTCTTATAAATCAGTCCACATATTTGCTTGTGTGTTTGCCTTTAGGAATAGTTTAATTGTTCTGAAATAAATAATCGTGTAGTATTGAAATTGTACAGTTACTATTGCAAATGGAATTTGCACATTTATGATTCCTGTGACACTATATAATTGTGGATTTTATTTAATTGACTGTGTTCAAGACATAAATTCAACTAAGAGTAATTGTGTGCAATTGCTTATTTGTTCCAAAACATATTGGTCCATTATCAATTTTTCAAAAAATGTGCAGTTAAAAATGACCATTATCTATTGCAGTATGCATGATTTAAAGGTGGATGTGACTTACGGTTGCAATAAAAAATTGTGATGATCAGCAGAATGAGGAGAAGAACACAACCAGAGGCCAGAGATGACAATATCCAAATCGCACAGTTAATGCTGGGCTTGACTGTGAACATAAACACGTCCACACACACACACACACACACACACACATATATATATATATACAGTATATATACCTATGATGTATACATATATGCTATGTATATAAATATATAGTCAAACAAACCTTGTCCTGAACATTTACACTGTGATTTTGTCGTAGCCATCGGTGGTGTTGGAGCAAATTTCGTTGATAATGGAGCAATCTTTGGAGGTGGTGTTGTTGGATCTATAACAAAGATATAAGCAAAAGGATTATGGACACAAATATGATCCTCTATATTCTTTTTTTTTTTTTTTTACATTTTCAGTGAAAATGTCTAAACAACTTTAAAACAAGATCAATTTGAGAATCAAACATTGTAATATACTAAGGATTGTTTTCAGAGAATATATCTTAAAGTTTAAACTCTGTACTCCATTAGCATTGTTTTAAACATAAACCTTACTGTTTTTCTTCTCTTTTCGTTTTTGTGAAATCTATGCTCGCAACAAAACCAATCAATTTGTCAATGAGGTAACAAAAAATAACTTAATTCAAGACACATTCCCATTAAATGATTAATGAAAACAAATTATTATTGTGTGTAATTTTGCTTCTCAATTAAATTTCTTGTTTTATGTGTGTTATATATGAAAAACTGTGGAAAAAACTCAATAAAGAATATTTTTGGCAGTATATTTTACATGACTCTTTTGAAGAGTCTGCAGACAAATGCAGATGTGATCACTAAGCAAAATAATTCAATTCATCATAATGTTTAGAAAAAGCATTTTCTCACCTGGTTCTCCATTAATTTCAGTCAGCTCTCCAAAGATGAGTTTATTGTTGTTCATGGCTGCGCAGGTGTAGAAACCACTGTCTGTCTTTTTATCGAAAGACTGAATAGCTAAACTAACCTTACCACTTTTGTTCACTTTGTATTTTGTCTGATTAACATTACCCTTTACATCTGTGCTTTTAACAGTGAACAGATACTTTGCACCACTTCTGTTTATTTGAAACCAGAATGTAATGACGCCGGGTTTGGGGTCACAATTGACTGGTACCTCCTCTCCTTTTCGGTAGATGGTATTTGCAAAGTCCCCTATAGACAAAGCAAAAGTTTTAGATGAAGTAAAACAAGACTTTAATCCATGTGAGAACCAACATAATCTAGAACAGATTTAAATAAAAAACTAAAATTATTTTATTCATGTGGGTTGTTCAAAAGTCATACAAGTCTGAACTGAATTCTTCTGCACTCAGTGATGCAGAAATAGAATTAACTTGTTTTACTATAGAATTCACTGAAACTTAGCTCTTCATACATTTAAACATACCAATAGGAATATATATATATATATATATATATCATAATTTATGTACTGTATCATAACTTCCATTCCATTTCTATGTTAAAAAAATAGCTAAAAGTTTAATTTAAAAAAGTATTATTTTACAGAAATAAAACCCACAATAAAATGACTGTAAATTGGCTGTATATATTTTTTTTTTTACAAATATTAACTTCTAGGCAAAATTTGAGTCATTATTTGATTTGTATTTGATTTGCTCTGTTCAAATGATCGCAAGCGATCTGTCAATCTCACACACTCATTCCTAAAATATTTCCTATCATGTAACCGCAATATATATTATATACAAGAAAATGTTCTACTTACCATTGAAGAGGGACAAAATCACAAAAAATCCAATGCATATTTGATTCATGTTTTCAATTCTCAGCACAGACATTCAGTTCTTCTATAACACCAGGAACAAAACAACTAAAAGGATGAAAAAAAATCTCCCCGTCTGCCCCTCCCAAACCCTGACTTTCATTTTCATGGTTTTCAACTGAGAAATTGTACTTAAGAGATTAAATGTTGAAATGTATACTTTTTGCTACTAAAATACATAAACCTTTTATAAAATATGGAAAATCAAAAATGGTCCAGGAAAAAAAAATTAAACATGAATAAAGAAAATTAAATGACTGCTTGATGGACAAGCGGTCCACATACATTCATCAAAATGTAGAAATACAAATCAAATTTTAGTGTACATAAAAGTATACCACTTAGATCAAGTAAGGATAAGGTTTATTTCTTATCATTTCTCTACTTTTCTGCCTAAATTAGTTAAAATCCTGTGAATAGATCTATTTGAAAAACAATTTCTGTATAAATGCATAGAAAACAGACGCATAGATAGATAGATACTATCTATCTATCTATCTATCTATCTATCTATCTATCTATCTATCTATCTATCTATCTATCTATCTATCTATCTATCTATCTATCTATCTATCTATCTATCTATCTATCTATCTATCTATCTATCTATCTATCTATCTATCTAT